CCCTTCCCTTCCCTTCCCTTCCCTTCCCTTCCCTTCCCTTCCCCCCCCCTCTTTCTCCTCTGAAGGGATGGTAACTAGAGATTAAACCCAAGCAAGAAACAGTCCCCATCAGATCAGACTACAGGAATATCTGTAGGGCATTTTCTTGATTACTCATTGAGGGAGGGCTCAGGTCACTGTGGGCAATGTAACCCCCGGGTCAGATAAGCCTGGGCTGTGTAAGAATGGTAGGCCAGCAAGTCAAGGGAGAAGAAGCCAGGAAGCAGCGGACCACTATGGCTTCTGCATCAGTTCCGACTGTCAAGTTCTTACCCGGAGTGAGAGCCTTAGCCTTGACATCTTTGGATAATAGACTATAAGCCAAATAAACTCTGTCTTCTCCCAAACTGTTTCTGGTCAGCATTTTATCAGGACCCCCCTCCCAGAGAAGCAAACTAGGATACTGAGACAGGAGGCTAGCCACGAGTTCAAAGTCAACTTGCACTACATTGTGAGACCCTGTTTCAAAACTTCTTTTTATGACCCCCCCCCCACACACACACACAAGCTAGGTGTTCAAACCTGCCTAGGAGCAGGAAGATCTCACATTTGCAAAGAAATAGCATGATAAAATGCACACTGTGTTGTCCTGGGTCAAGATGATAAACACACACAGTGTGTTGTCCTAGGCCAAGTTGGTGAAAGCAACACTTGGGGTGATGGAAATGGTGAGACAGAGAAGACCTCCTTCTTCTGGTATGACAGGATTAGATTCTTCCTGCACAGTCCTGCAGCTAGTGCCTGGGTTTATGTTTGGCTTTGTTTGCATTGGCAAAGAGGCAGGTGGCATAAAGAATGTTCTCGGTCAATAGGTCATTAGTAGGTTCACCATTGGTCACCTTTTCTAAAGCTGAGACTGAGAATGGGGGAGGAAGCAGCCTAGCTGCCCTTTTCCAGGTACGCTGTCAGCTTTCCTGATGCTCTGCATCCCTGAAGGTCCCCAAAGTTCCCTGTGTCACATCTCACAGGATCCAACCCTACAACAAGGGCCTTTCAGTGTTTGCCAGTTTCTATGTTCCCCCATCACTTCCGACTTCTGGTATCTTTGGCTTGTGCAAAAACTCTGACCCACGTCACTTACAGGTCCCTTACCCTGGTGACGTAAGCTCCAGAACAATGTGTCTTGCCTTTTGTTTTTATTTTTTTAAACTTTAAGCATTTATCATTTGGCGACTGTCTGGATGGGTACACCTGCTTGCTATGGTGTGGGCTGAGGTCACAGGATAACCTATGGGAGTCAGTTGTCTCCTTCACACCATATAATAGGTCCCGAGAATTGAGGTCAGGTCATCTATCAGGTTTGGCAGAAAAGGTCTTTATCGGCTAAGTCAATCTCCCCAGCCCAGAGCAACGGTTTGCATTTATTTCCAGGTACTCTCCATGTAGAAGGAGGCAAGGAATAGACAAGCCTCGTCAACCACAGCTGCCACCGGCCAAGCCTATTGTAAGTGTGAACTGTTTAACCTTCTTCCTCTCCTCCTGCACCATGTCAGTCTTTGAGGGATCGAAAGCGGAACCCCTGCATCTGTGGAACCATTAAAGCCATCAGCTCTGTCTGTCTGTGTCAGAATTCAAGCTTTGGAGAGGATTTAAATTCCTTCCCTTGCGGGCTTAGCAAGCCAGGCTATGGTTAGATAGCTGCTCGAGTGTTTTTACACCCAGGCTTGTATCTCTCTATGGCATCATGTCTCAGGCTTAACTTTGATCCAAGCAAAACTTTATTGTGATACAGGTAGGTGTGCTGTACTCACCTATAATCCCGACACTCAAGAGGCGGAGGAGGCGGGACTAGGAGTTTGACCTAACCCATTCTACATAGTGAATTCCATGCCAGCCTGGGATGTTTAGTAAGAACTTGTCTTAAAAGAGAAGAGGAAAAAAAACTCATAGAAGTGTTTTATTTCAAAAGTTTCAACAGAACGTGACAAGAAATGGTCACCTTTCTTCTTTACCTCTTTGTTGTTGTTTGCTTGTTTGTTTCAAGACAGGGTTTTTCTGTGGAACTGCCCTGACTGTCCTGGAACTTGCTCTGTAGACCAGGCTGGCCTCGAACTCTCAGAGATCCGCCTGCCTCTGCCACCAGAGCACTGGATTAAAGGCGTGCACCCCCACATTCAACCCTCTGTAGAGAAGGAATCCGGAGCTGGAGATGCCGCTCAGTTGCTAGTGAGCTCGCCTAGCGTGCACAAAACCTTGAGTTTCCATCTCTGGGACGGAACCTTCAGACAATTGTGAGCAATGCTGCTGGGAACATTGATAGGTGGTTCGTTGCCATTTTTCTTGGCCTCACCCCAACACAGCCAGCTGAGCTGAGCCACAGCCCCTAACACTGCCACATGGAGGAACTAAGATTCTATCATCTAAGCCTTTTGTGGGTGTAGTCAAACCTTGAGAGCCAACTATTAATACCCACATAGGGGGAAACTGTATATGGGACCATATAAGCAAATTAGGATACATGCTTCCTTCAATATATGGCTCGTGGGATTATGAGGTATCTAGCCCTGATTAGAGAGCACATCTGCATCTAGGGCAATGAAATACAGAGCACATCAAACACACACCACTTCCAGCCTCTGGTGTATGATATTGGGAAGCAAACCTACCCTTTATCAATGGAGCAATTGGTGTCCCCCTCCTGTGACCCTTCAACCTGGAGGCAGCTCAGAAGTTAACCTGAGGTGCTTGGTGAAATCTGGGTCCGTTCATATCTGCTCTTACCAATCACAGTCTTAGAGATCTCTCAGTGGGATGCGAAAAGCTCTTAGGATATGTGCTGGATGCTGAAAGGCAGACCCTAGAATGATACCTGACACAGATAACTCATACATTGTATATGACTTATATATGCAGATAACACACACATAATAGAATTCACACACACACACACACACACATATATAAGGAGAAGAGATGCATGTTAAAGTGTCATTTGCCTCTGTCAGATGAGATGGGGAATTATTTTGCCCTCTTTTCTAAACTTCTTGAGTTTACTTAAGTGTTAATTTAAAACTACCTTTGAGGGTATTTAAGTGCTATTTTCAAACTATTTTTCATTAAATGGAATTCTCTTTAGAATGCTTTTTTTTAATGTGTGTTTTGCCTGTATGTGTGTATGTATCCCACGAGTGTGTTTCGTACCCAACGAAGTCAAAAAGGGGGCCTAGATTTCTCTGAAAAGGGAGTTAAGAATGGCTGTGGGACACCCTGTGTCCCACAAACTCTCAAACCAAATACAGGTCTAATGCAAGAGCAACAAGCGCTCTTAACCACTGAGCAATCTCTCCATTCCAGTAGTAAGATTTTAAAAGTAAAGAAATAGGAAAAGTAGAAGATGCCAGAGAAAGAAATTAGCTCACAAAAATGCCTGCAGAGTTATCAAGCATGTGTGGGAAACACAGCTAGCCTTGAGCTTCCTGTAACAGGAGAGTCACTGCTTAGAACAGCTCTCCAACTCTTGCTTGGGGCCTCTAATTGTCTTGGAAGCACTACTAAGAGGTCATTAAAAGTTCATCCCGTGAGTTGAACAACCGGGCTGGTGAGGTGGCTCAGTTTGTGAAAACACTTAACCATGCAAACCCAACGGCCTGAGTTTGAGCCCTGGAGCCCTGGAGCCCTGGAGGTGAAAGGCGAGAAGGACTCCTGGACGTTGTCCCCTGAGTCCCACCACACACACACACACACACACACACACACACACACACACACACACAAATACAAAATAAAATTATATTTTACAAAAAGAGTATAACGGTTGCTACACGCAGACAGTCTCCTGTGAGGGGGACAGACTCATTCGTCTGCAGTCTTCCCAGACTGTTTGGGGTGAATGCTAGGAGCTAATGTGGGGAAGAGAGATTCTGCTCATGGGGACAGCACTTTCCAGTCTGCATGGCTGGCTGCTGTAAAATAGGATGTCCTGGCAGATGGATCACAAGTCACTCATCTTATGCAGCTGGAAGCAGAGAGATAAGAAGGGGCCAGAGACCTTTCAAGGACGACATTTCCAATGACCTAGTTTCTCCAAGCAGGCATCACCTACTGATAGTCCATTCGGCTATAAATCCATCAGTTGATGAATCCGTTGATGAAGTTAGAATCTGCATGGTCCAATCAGCTCTCAGCAGTGCCAACATCTGGAGACAGAGCCTCAACAAATGACCTTTTGGAACCACTTTGTAAAAAGTGCAGACTACAACAACATATAATGATCTGCAGAGAACAAATACAGGCTTGGTGTTTGCTCAGTTTTAACCCTAAATGGGGTCTCTTTGGTCTTGACCTAAAGTGTTGGTAAGGCTCCGGCCTGACATCCAGTGCCACCACAACCCAATGCTAACGTCATTCCCAACCTTCACACCAGTTTTCTACATGAACCCCTCCCTTTTGGAGAAACCGTGTGCCCGCTTCCCATTGCATGCTAATCAGCACTTCTTTCTCTTATCCTTTGCTCAGATCTTTCCTTTCAAGGGGAATGACCTTCAGGAGAAGACCCTGGGGGCCCAGACCAAGCCCTACCTAGAAGAGAGTGTTACAGCATTCACAGTTATCTTTCACATATAAAAATATTATTATATTATTAGCAATTAGTAGTGTAATAATTATATTATCATAATTACAATATAATAATGTTATATTAATAGTAATTATATGCATAAATTTTGCATGCATGGGTGCCTGAGAATATATCTGTGTACCGTGTGCATGCGCATGTTTGGTGTCGGTGGAGGCCAGGATAGGGATCAGATCCCCTGGGACTGGAGTTATAGGTTGCAGTGAGCTGCCATGTGGGTGCTGAGATTAGAACCCATGTCTTCTGGAAGAATAGCCAGTCCTCTTGACTGCTGAGCCATTTCTCCAGCCCTGATAGTTTGTCCTAAGGAACAGCATATCTTTTTTTCAGTGCTCTGTCCCTCTTTGATATTTTGTTTGTATGATGCTGGGGATCAAAGAGCATGCTTGCTTCCTCCTGCTGAGCTCACATCCCATTCCCTCTTACACCCAGAAGACCTGCTTTGAAGTGTGGTACGGCCAATATGACTAAATTCGAGCTGAGAGAATGTGAGAGTTGACCTGTCTTCCATGTGAAATTCTCCAACTGAACGAGCAGCTTAATCTGGGGGAAAAAAAAAAATCACAGTAGCCTGGGAAACAGACTGAGGGGGATGAGAGTTAAGAAATGGAAGAGTGAGGACCTGACTCACAGCCTGGCAGGAGCCTTCACACCCTTTGCTCGGGAGCCTACAAGCACATCCTGGAAACTCACACGCCCTGGGGGGGAGGGAGACTTATTATAACACAAATTGGTTGCTGTTGTTTTTATATGTTTGGGTTTTGGGTCTTCTGCCCAGACTTGGGTGACTTGGGTCCGGAAGGCAATGAGGGAATGAAGAAAGACACGCAGACACACGGATGGAAAAACTGTGGTCACATGGACTGTGTATACTCTGATAAAATGCCACCAACAACCTCAAGGACTCAGAGCCTCAACATGTTCATTACGTACAGCACAAGGTGGGTGGGTGGGTGGGAGGCGGGGAGGGGGGAGATTAGCCAGTCTCTGTAGGTCTGTGTAGGCCAGTGGCCTGTGAGCATCTGGGAGGAGGAAGTGCAGTTCCTAGGTTTTGCACACATTGGTCAATCGTTTGTAAGTGCATACAGTGGAGATGTTCTGCCACACCCATGGATCTGAGGCATGGGGCATCCTTGGCGCTGCTGAGCCCACGTCAACAATTCACTCAAGACATATTTGGCCCCACATAGTCTTGTCTCTTCAATCAGATGCAAATTCCTTTGGAACACCTCCATTTAAGCATCTTATTCTTCAAGAGACCCCCACATAGAGACATGCATATGGTGAGTCTTTAATGAAGAGAGGGTAACTAAATAGTTGGCAAATAGGATGGATCTGGGTCTGGTTTTAGTATTATTGAGTGAGGATGTCCTTGCTTTCATAAAGGATGTTTTCCAGAAGTCCCAAAGACACTGTGTCATTCATACCAAGTAATGATCTGTGCGCATCTTTCTGGTTATGTTAAATAATCTATCTTACCTAAACTATCTAATGTACTATACATGCTATTATAAATAACCATTACATTCTCTTATTTAGAGAATAAGGACAAGAAAATATCTATATATATTTGGTGTTTATACAATTTTCCCCAAGATATACTTGGTTAAATCTGAAAAAGTGGACTGCCCATGATATAAAAGAAGTTATTAATTTTTTTTTTACACTGCTGGGGATCAAACTCAAGACTTTGCCCTCTCTAGCAAGCACTCTTCCATTGAGCTACAACTCCATCTATGAAAATGGTTTTTGAAAACCTAACATTAAACTGAGACTTTTTAGCCACGGACACAGGCCAGAGCTAGACCCAAACCTAGCCCCCTGGGTTTGGGAGAAAAACTAGTGTCCCGACGACTCTCTTCCATGTACAG